ACCTCGGAACGTTTGACCATTCTTGCTTGCCTATACCCTTGACCTCGGATTGCTTACTGGACTGCCTACGCCTTCTCCCTTTTGTACCTGCTCTGCCTGCTCGGTGTGACCTCGGACTGTTGACCTCGGATATCAAGATCTACAAAACTGCTACAAAACCAGGGATTGGCCGGCACGGTGTTACCGCCTCTGGCCCTCCTGCCACTCACTGTCTCTAGGGACTCTGTCCCCAATACCAGAGTCCCTAGGACACGAGCTGCAAGGGAAGCCTCCTCCTACATCCAGTCTCCACACAGGTACGTGATAACTCCACTCCAGCTGGCTACCTAAACAAAAACCTCTCTCTTACGGCCCATATACATCACATCTGTTGGGTTGCAAGTCTCAATGCAGACCCAATGCATTGACAATCTGAAATCCATTGTTCCCGATTAGCCTAGTTCACGCCACCGCACTGCAGTGGTTTGGGCTTTGTGAAAGTGGAACATGCTACATTTAAACACAGTGCAACGTACTGCAATGCGTTACACCACATCACAGCATGCTTAACAAAAGAAAACATAAAGAAAATTTAAAACAATGTATTTCAGCTCCTGCTGTGAACAAAACAAAACTGTGTATCAATGCAACATGTTAAAAAAATGCAGATCACTGCAACACAATGTTAAAACATTTGATTTCAATGCTGGTCAACTCAAGTGCATTTAAACTGTGTCAACTGCTAACTGCAATGGACGTGGTCAAAATCCAGTCTAGGACTCTGCTCCCAGTCTCCATTTCCCGTGACCTCTTTCCTTGGTTCTGATTCCATTGGTGACTTGGCTTGCCTCTGATCACAATTTCTGCCTACTGCCAGCCCTAACCTCTGCCTATTTTTAGGACAACCTCTGATTGCTGCCAGGTTTTGATTCCCGTCTCTTGATTCTGTACATTGTCTCATTACTACCAGCTACTGCCAGTCCAAGCATATCCCACAACCTGGGAGCCACCTGCAACAATGTCCATCACCCCTTTGCCTAAAAGATAAATGTCGTTTTAGCAAAGATATCATTTAAATAGCCCCCGCCCTTTTAAACACACACACAAATGCCCTTACCTGTCTACACTCTTCACAATCTCCATTAATTTCTATGAAAAGGTCATCATCATCATTTGCGCCAATGGCTGACGGCCTTTCCACAGAAATAAATCAGACTCTACTGCACAGGGGTGGCAAGGAGACTTTTCATGTGAAGACTACATGACTCTTGGACAGGTTAAAGAAGACTTTGGGGGGAAATGCCGGCTAGGGGGGCTATTTAACTGTACAAAAACTAAATGTATTCTCTTAATATACATAACTATCACAAACTATATTTAGAGACTTTCATATCGTTCCTCTCTCATCCTGCCAAACCGATTACAGCCCATCTAACATTACAGATCAATTCTACTTAAATAAGCCAGTGATATTTTTACTTTACTGTTCACTTTATGTTCTTACCACAATATACAGGTTAGATAGTACTGCCTGGATATTACAAAGTGTTGCGAATTGCTATCTTAATGTTGTGTCTTTCTTTAGCTCCTGTGTAGTCTAAGCCTGTTCGCATATGATTAGAGTCATAATAAAGTATGAACACAAGAGTTTAAGATAATACTGACAGCCAGAATTTTTCCCCCCATAAGTTTGAATAAAGAAATGTGTAGGAACGGGATATAGATATTGGAGCCAGTGGCGTAACAATCGCCATAGCAACCCAGGCAGCCGCTATGGGGCCCGGGCACAGAAGGGCCAGGCCAGGGCATTACTCTGATGCCGTGGCATGTAAGGGTGCTGGCTGTCACTGACACAGCTCAGCAGCAGCGTTTCCCCTCACAGCGCTGCGGAGCTGTGTAAGTGACAGCCAGCAGCTACGGCAGAAGAGGCCAGCATTCGCAGTGAAGCAGGAGGCGGGGCCCGCCTAAGAGCAACCCCGCCTCCTCTTACATCACTGGCCAGCGACCTAAGAGCAGGTAGGTCCAGTGATGTAAGAGGAGGCGGGGCCGTCGATAGAAGAGGAGGTGGGGCCCGGGGACGGAAGAGAAGGCGGGGCCCGGCGACCACGGAGGCGGACAGCGCTGACAGGTAAGAGATGCGCAGCCCATCTGAGACCCTGCAGAGCCCACTATAGAGAGTCCATGGTGGGCTCTGCAGGGTCACTCTCAGGTGGGCTGTTTGGTATATCAGGTGGGCTCTGCAAGTAGCATAGCTAGCAATCACGGGGCCCCATACAACATTTTGCTCTGGGGCCCTGTGATTTCTAGTTACGCCCCTGATTGGAGCTATAATTTATGCCTGCTCCAACTTGTGTTATATTGCTGATCATATACATCTGGACTGGCAAAGGTCAAGATAACAAGATTATGCGTTCACTGAAATCATCTGATGTCATTATTCAAATACAGTTAAGCTAGTTATGGACACCAGATGGCAGCCCAGTTTGCTGTTAGGACTGTTCTTCCTGCACATCCATGACTTGGAAGACATACGCAGGCATCAGGGCAAAAATAGTAATCAGTTGGCAAAGTCAAACCCAGCTAATCGACTGATAGACATGGGCATCATGATCATAGACCTGATACTACTGAGATTTACCAAATCAAGTGATGATCATCTTTTGCCTAAGGATACCTAGAGGAAAGCTTTACATACCAGTAATTCCTTTCAGTACAGTAATACCTTGGTTTAAGAGCATAATTCGTTCCGGAAGCATGCTTGTAATCCAAAGCGCTTGTATAGCAAAGCGAACTTCCCCATAGGAAATAATGGAAATTCAGATGATTCGTTCCACAACCCAAAAATATTCATATAAAAATGATTACAATACTGTACTGTAATATAATACTGTATAAAATATAAAGAAAAATAAACCAATTACCGGTACCTTCGTGGCTGGTGTGAGGGGGACAAGAGAGAGGAGGATTATTGTGTAGGACGACTTTCACTAACGGAATCACTGATATCTCTTGACTCAATGGAATCTTTTTCATTTCGTGAAACCCTAACAAGGAATCTATTGAATGTGACATTGTGTTGTCGTTAAACAGTCTCATCGCTCGCACTGCTACAGCCTTATTCGGGTGGCGCTTTTCCACAAAAGTTTGCTCTTATTGCAAGACAAGTTACTTGTAAACCAAGGTATTACTGTATAAACCAAAGTGTGAATGTTTCTTCTTTAGCAGATGTATCATCTCATAATGGACATTTAATGGATACTGAAACACTGACCCTTTTGGGGAATTCTGCATAGTAATATGTATGCACTGAAACATACCTGGGAACTTTAGCCATCATCAATACTCTGAGGAACACAAAGGTGTAAATCCAGCATAAGGGAAACTCTTTTGAATGGCACCCAAATGGACCTTGCAAACATACCCCGCCAAACGTGAGCTGCAGCATACAACGTATAGATGGATATCATATGTGCATTGCAGTGTGTATTAAAAAATGTTGTCCGTCGAATTTTAGGTGTGGTTTGGTGCATTGGCAGCTTATTCAAAATGAATCAGCTGCCTTAAGGCAATGCACGTTAATACACAGAATGCGCAAAGCAAATATGTAAGAGGGGCCTAAAATATTGTATTTTTTGGAAGAACTGCATATGTTCTACTACACTACCGGCTCCGTTAGTTGTTCCGCAGCTGAGATTCAAACCCTGTCTGGCCAGGCCCTCACAATAATGTTCCAAGATCACCACATGAAATGTACTGCATTAATTATCTGTAATGATCATTAAAGTGTAAAACAATGTACTAGAATAAATTATAGACTAAAAATGTTTAATAGAGAAACATCTGATGCATTAAAAACCTTCACTGATAAAAATGGACTGCGTCATAAGATTTAAGAGAAGTACCATATAATCGTCCACCAAATTCAGGTCACATGATCCTGCTGTCCAGTTTCCTATATGAAATAATAAAGCCTAGGAGGAGGGATTGTGTGGAGGCTGTACAATGTGGTGCAGTATTCTGATAGATGAAGACGTCCTCTGGAAATGATTCAGTAGGCATGACAAAGGGAAGTATTATACTATCAATTAGACTCTATGGGAGGAGAAAGAGACATAGAGAGGTGCTGATGTCACTGGAGGGTTCAACTTCCAGTTGATGCTCTTAACACTGGAGGCACTGGTATTGGCGTGCCATCACTACAGCTCGAATGAACTGTAAAGGTGCCCCGATAATCGCGGGAAATCCCGCGATCGTACGATTATCGCAAGGTGTTTGGAAGGCGTGCAACCTCTCCTACTGTAAGGTCGCACGACGTTTATCTTATGAACATGTTCGAAAACCCGCCGAGAATCGTACGATTTTCGGCGGGTGTGTGGCATGTTCGTAAGATAAATGCCGCACGGGCCTGTGTTTGCGCAAGCGCACACTGCCCGTTTAGCATTGCGTTCATCGGAAGTACGATCTGCCTGTCCAAGATAGGCAGATCATACATTTTTTTTATTACCTTACAACCTTGCAAGACATAAGTCTTGCTGATTTATAGTGGCTGATACATTTAGAATTTTCATCGAAGAACAATATAAAATGGTAAGGAACATGTGTTAGGGATAAGGATTACAATGATAGAAACATTTTTTTCCTTGTTGTCCACTTTAACATGCAAGGTACATTATGCCTAACTTCAATATGGGTCATGAATACTAAAGCAAACGAGGTCCTCCCAGACTCTGCGTAGCAAGGATTTTTGAAATGATGTAATAATAAATTGCCGTAAAGCGTTTTTTTGTATTTCATCAGCTGTGGTTTGTAGCTCTGGACTTCATTTATGAATATATTACACATCAATAAAAGAATTAGGGAGATGACTGCTTCTCAAGCTGTCCTTAATATGTCATTGTTCTTTTAGTCACATAATGGCAGGTTATGTCAGCTGTAGTATTGCAGCAGCGAGATAACAAGACTCATAACTGCCACTGATGATGGGCGTAGCAAGTAAATATACATATTGAGGCAAATTAGAAATGATTTCATACTCATATATATTTTTGAACACACTATAAACAGCTTGTATGTGGTTAGAACATATGATCCAGCTTTTTAAACATATTTGTATCCAGGTAATGCTTAAGAAGACCATTTGTAATTCCTAGGCTAGCCACGAGAAGTAACAGGGCTATTGCGATCAGGCTGAGGTAAAATCCAGGGATCCTGAAAAAGAAAGCATACAAATACTTGATATGCGGATGTCATACATGTTCTTATCATGCTGCAGTTATAATAATAACAGGTTTGTCTCATAAGGCAGTGCACATAACATTAGTGATGTGCAAAGTACATATGTTTTTACTTTAATTATATGACCCCTTTCATACAGGCTTTCTGATCAGGTCCACCTGTCAGTTTTTAAGGCGGACCTGATGGGATGCCTGATGTTACTCTATGGGTAGCCAGATCTAAACCAATGGGCGTCCGTTTACATACGGTTAGCACTTACTCCGGCCAGGTCCAAAAACCAAACAGAACAGTGTTCCATTATGCCGGACCTGATCGTGTAACCCAGATCAGGGTTAAGCCAAGGTAAATCCAGCTGCCCATAGACTAACATGGGCCTGGTCATTTCAGTATTTTCCTCCATCTCATGATGGAGGAAAAAACTGGATGGAAACGGATGTCATAACGGTGACATCCGTTATGATCAGGAGGGGATCTGTACACGGATCCCCTCCTGATCAGAACTGAGCCTCCTATCTGAAAGGGGCCTATGACAGGTGATTGTTGACTGGTTTAAATAGGTAGCTGCTCTTTGTTTTTTGCCAAGTTATTAAAGCAAAGCTGTACTTTGCTCATACTTTGCAAAGCAACAGGTTTGAATAACAGGAGGAAATGCAACAGTATTGCCTTACCTTGCTTTATGCTGCCACACTGTCAGAGCACTTGTATCATTCTAACTCTCCGAGAGAAGCTATCAAGGCTCCCTCTACTCAGGGAAGAGCAGAAGGGTGACAGATCTCAGATCTAGTGACTGCCCTGGTGATTGACTACATAGACACTGGGCACTGCATTATGGGGATTCAGGGGGGGTCACATATTCCACTAGGAAGTATATCACATATTACACTAGCAAGTATCAGGACTGGGAGGGTGTTCTGAGAAAGATAAACAAAAGCTTCTCACATTGCCAAGTATGGGCAAACTACAGGTCAACTCCAGCTTTAGTTTCAATCTTGTACACTTGCCCTTCTCCTGTGATGAAACTGCTTACTCTGATTTCACTGCACACTGTGAGCTTCTACATTAGATGATACAGCAAGTCAGCGAGAGCCCACCTCATTTCCTAGTTGGAGGATGATCACCATCAAATAGCCTTTCCTCCCCACTTTTACTTTCCCTGGTCCGCCCCTTTCATTCATTTGATTTCAGTTATTTCATGGAGCCTCGGCATCACATGTGGATGTTAATATCTGCATGCAAATGCAGTCTGCCACTGCTTTCATCAGGGCTGACGACTCATGAAAGGGTACGAAGCAGGGTGCTGTGAAGTTTTCAGGAAGCTATGCACAGCACTATGACCACCCCCACCACAAGCCATGATCTGTCTGTATTGAATAGTCAAGGAATCAAGGAAGATATCACTGACTCTAAAATAAAGTATGTAAGGAATCCATAAAAAAAAATTCATTAAAATGTTGATGAGGGTGGGAGGGAGAAACCAGGGAGGGCAAAATATAAAAATATTAAACTACATCTACTTTTGAGTTCTTTTTTTAAATAAATGTTCATTTTACATGACCCTCTTGGGTTAAGTATAAATCAGAACTTTTTATCTGACTAGAGTTGTGCTTTAAATGTCCATGCGTAGCCTTGTCCTATACTGATGTCTTGTATGTACATGGCGGTACGAGTTTATAACTTCACATGGTGTAAACTGAAAGGCATTTTCTTTTGTTTTAAATAAGACCTTTTTCTTACCTGCCCTGAGCAGATGCTACATAGCCCTTAAAGTAGGTGTGACGTGCAAAGATGTACAGCAATCCAATAGCTGCAGCCACTTCTGAAAAAACAAAACATGACAGCAAAACCATAAGGTGAAGCATTGCAACTGAGTTTTCTCCAAAGTATCTACCACTTTTCGTTGATTTAAATGGCTAAAGGTAATCTAGGTGTCAAGTTAAGTCAAATTGCTTAATATTAACCTCACTTAACAGCTTTGCACCCTACAAAATTATAAGGGCTATTCACTAATGAGCCGAAGGATCCAGCCGTAGCTTCGGCCGCCTCTGCCCTTCGGTTCAGTGAAGTTGAAGGGCTGCTGTACGGACTTTTCCCAATAGCCCGTACAGCAGCCGAGCCGAACGCATATGCTCCGCCCAGTTGTAATGACAGATCAGCCCCCCACGTGACCTGGGGACGCTGATCTGTCATTAAACAACAACTGGGCGGGTCGTCATGCGTCGTTTTTTAAAATTATTATTTGCAATTTTTCTTCTTTTCTTTTATTAATTTTTTATTTTAATTTTCCTATTTTTTTACATTAAAATAATGTTTTACATTATTTATTATTTATTTATTATTGTAATTATTATGTAATATTATTTATTATGTAATTATTATTACATTAAAATAATGTTTCAAATTTTTTTCCCATTAATTTAACAGTTTTTCTATTCTGCCCGCTACTTCGGAGGTACTGAGCAGAATAGCCAAGCCGAATGCACAACTTTGCCGCATTGAGCAAGTAGAGTAAAAGGGAATTTTTATAGCACTTTCTAGAGAAGCCGGAGACATGTAGGAGGCAGGCACCTGGGTTGTCATGAACATCAATCCCTGTAAGCTGTTTAGTAAAATTTCCCACCTCTGTCCAGAAGTGTCTAAGCTTCTGGCATAGCCTCCTCTCCACATCTCCAGCAACTCCCAGAGGTCTGTGGAAAATTTTTTGAAGAAGTGTGGGCACTCTGTACCAGCGAGAGAGAATTTTGTAATATTATATTTTGTAGTATTCTACTGGAGATGGAGGCGTATGGGTGAAGTATATGGCGTCACTCCTTTGATCGGGTGCAGTCTTCCTTTGGTTGAATTAATGCCTTATACATCAGGGCGAGCGAATGTCTCACTGTAGCTTTCTGGAGACAAAGACCATGGTAGAGGAATCGTAGACCATACCTTAGGCACCCGTGATTTCAGGAAATGGAGGAGTTGGCGCAGCCTCCAAAACATCCAGCTGTGGGACTACCAGTATATCTGATTCCTCCTTCAAAGTACCATGCAATACAAAATCGCCCAACCTGAACTTGCCTTGTTTAATAAAAGCAGAGAAGCGGGTATCAATATTCAATCTGCGCAAGGATCAAAGTCCGGATGACCCACCACTGGGGACACCAAAGACGGACCTAAGTCCTGGTACACACCTAGATGTTTTTGAGCAGTTCGTAAAGCGCCTTTAACTGTACAAAACAAGAAATCCTATGATTTTCAATGGCCCTGGTTCACACCTAAGCAAAAAAACGCATAGCAGGAAAACGCCAGACCCCTGAAAAAATACAGGAGCTTTTTTGGGCAGTTAAAGGCGTTTTTCCTCCCCAAAGACCTAATTGTAAATGCCCAAAAACGCGCAACAGGAGCATGTTGCACATTTTCGTGAGCGTTGTAGCGCGTTTATACGCTCGTTCTTCTATTGCCCACAATGGTTTATGAGCTGCATATCAAAACACACGTCTTCATGTACGCACGTTAAAACGCGCATACAAATGTGCACAAACGCGCAAATAACCGCCTGCTGCTAACACGCGTACAAAAGGGCAAAACTGTGCCACTTAGGTGTGAACCAGGGCTAACCCTTCAGTTATTCTTGACGAGTGCAGGATTGGACCCTGCTCTAAAAATTCAAGTTATATATAGTTGTCACACACCTGTCTCCTTGTTGGTCTTTCAGACAAGATGTGGGGCTTATTATAACATTTTATTAGAGAATGTTGGCATGTGGTGCTTGGTGCACTATAAACATTTGTACAATGGCTTATTATTAGAAAAATAAAAAACGGAACACCTGCGACACGAAAAGTGGGAACAGCAATGAGGCAGCAAAAGAACATGCTGCTGGGAAAAAAAATCAAAATAATAAAAGACGAACACACGCACTGCCAATGTTCGAGTCGAACTCATGTTCAACTCGAACATCGAGCCCATGCCTAATCAGTGCCAATTCAGAGATGATTTGAGGATCTACAGCTGAGTGATACACAAAGAGGCGACATTTCTGTTAATAGTTAAGGTACTTGAATGCATTATTAAGATTTAACTCCTGAGCTTAGTCTTACTTGAAAGTAATGGGTAGATGGGTTTAAACAATGAGTGTAATAACATGAGGATGTGTATGGCTGATGTTCAGTCCTTTCATACTGCAACATTACCTTGATAAAAGTATGTTCCGGCTGTCCAAAGAAGAGCCAGGAATATTGGATAGAACTCTACACAGTTTTGCCTAAAACAGAATAAAAAAATAAATTGTTGATAGTATTTACTACATAACCCCATTCATACATGGCACTGTAAATGTATCAATAGGTAATGAAATACCTGCATGACATACAGGAAGAGTTTTATTAGCAATTATTGTGGATATACGAATGCCATGGTCTCCTCTTTGCAGAGCAATGGCCAGCAATGTTCTCATATACAGTACGTGTTGATGAGTCTTGGTGGTTCATTGATATTGTCATTTATCACACAAGCATAACATAGCATACTGTATATAATACAACCTTCCTTTCTGTGGACCTGGTAGTGTCTGCTATTTCTGCTACATTACTTACTGTGCACGGAATGTCCTCTCAAATTCTGGAGGCCCTGTGATTGCTGGAGGCATGATCTTGTGTTTCATTCTAGATCTCCCCACAAGCCTGGCATAGTACCCTATCACAAAGAAGTGTATACAAAAAAATTAAACAATGGTTTTTGCACAAGTTTTACTTTGCTAGGTTAATAAATATACATTCCTGAGAAACTGCTAACTGGATGTCTATGAAGATATACTACAACGCCAAATGAAATAGGAAAGATGCCCAACGTTTTCGATGAGGTTTGTAATTCACAGTAAATTAGGCTGTCTGACAACTCTGGTTGGGTCCAGACAGTGGGACCTATCAGATTTACCTGAGCTAAAATTCCTCCCTGTATATGTAACAACATGGATAGGTTATTACAAAATTGGATTGTCATCCTACATATCTAATATCAAAGCAAGATGGGGAATCATTGTGCTCCACATTTCTTTCAAATTTAGATGTTTGTTATCTTTGGCATCTTTTTCAGCTTAATCTGCAAGTAAGCAATTACAAGTTCTTACACAATGTTATCAGGACAACTGATGACACGGATTGTGACAGATACAATCTGGTTTCTACTAGTGCTCTGTAAATGAGATATTGATTCAGCATGTTTCCTCATTAAACACTAGTCACATACACTGTGATCATTTTACAGGATCTCATGCAACCTATGTAAAATAAAATTGTGCTCTGAGAAGCGGTGTTATTCTCAGTTGATTGCTCTGACCACACATGGTGCAATATGACCATGCAATCACGTTCATATTTACCAACATGAATATACTGTGAGGGCTTTCCTATAAAATTCATTCAGTCTACTTCCAATCAGAAATGCCCTCACACTACCGAGTTGTTGGTAAACTTACAGACGATGGTACAATCAGGCCTTGTTCACACCAAATGCAGACCAGATCCGGTCAGGTTTCTGCACACGCAGTGTAGTGGGTTGTGCCGCGTTTTAGACGCATTTTGGATGCGTTTTGGGAAGACATTTTTTTTAAGTTTAACATGGGCTTTCAGGCACTTGCATGCGTTTTTGATGTGTTTTTGCGTTTTAGATGCGTTTTTGATGCGTTCCAGACCAGATCCAGAGCAGGTAAAATAGGGCTTGCCGCATTTTTTTCATCCGGTCTGGATCTGGTCTGGATCCGCACGCTGCGATGTGAACTGGAGGTCAAAATACCATAGGAATACATTGGACGCAGTTTTGATTCCTTTTTCACTTATTTATTCTTAGAACTACAACTTACATTCCACACTAATGTACTGTGAGCTGTAGATATAAAAATTATTAGCAGTGGGGGGTTCCTTGTGATCTGAAAGTTATTTCAAGGGATCCTTCATATTAAAAAGGTTGATTTATAGTAAAGTAATGACAATAAATCAATGATCATATATGTCTCAAACCGAAAAAGACTATAATTGCCCTTATAATGTTTTTATGCTCATTACACAAATACTTAATCTATAACCCCAAAATGTAGATACCCTTCTGTCTTCCTCAGGGGTGCCTTGAAATGCCTTGAAATGTAACAAAGTAATGCCTCTGATGTAAAGAGGGCTTCTGATGTGAAAGAGGGGGCTGTGAAGGTTTAGGCCCCGTTCATAGCGAATTGTCGCGCGATTTCCGCCGCGATATCGCGCATTTTTGCCGCGCGATATCGCGAGAAGTCGCCGGCCAATGTTATTCAATGGAGCTGTCTTAACTCCATGTCGCGCGTCGCTCGTCGCGGTCGCAAGTCGCTTCTACCGGACCCTTTTTTCGGCGGATTTTGCGCAATTTTACTTTTTTTCTATGGAGCCCGACGGGGAAGGTCGCGCTACCGTCGCTGGATCGTCGCTGGAACGTCGCCCCGAAAGTCGCGCTATCCCGGCCGTGCGGATCCGCTGCAAAAGGTATGTCGCTATATGTGAACGGGGCCTAAGGAGTCTCTCATGAGTATGTAGGAACCCAACTTTTTGGTGTGGGGTCCTCCCCTCCCCTTAAAATCCAAACAAGACCCCTATCTTGTAAACGTACCTTGTATGGATTTAAGAGGGAACACATGTTGTATTTTAAATTTTTACATTTTAGACTGTGTTGTCTCGAGATTTTGCATACTTTTAAAAAGGGTGCGATGACTGAAAAAAGGTTGAGAAACGCTGCAATACCTCACCTGTAAAACAAAAAAAGCGTGCATATACTTACCTTTTCAAGGGCACATGTATCGAAAAGCCAATGCTTTTCTGCTCCCCAGCTGCTGTCATTATATTCTCATAGCAGCTTGTGTGCGAAGCTAGAATGAGTGAACTGTGCCCTATTATACAAAGATGCAAACAGTGTTCAGGGACAGCAAGGATAATGACCCAGTCAGATTGCACTGGCAGGCATGCTGGTAGTACAGAACCTTATATTATACACTGAAATGTGTTACTGGCAGCCAGTGAATGATGTGTAGGTAGTTGTTACCACTGGCAGAACTACCAGGGTCGCAGCGGTTGCAATTGTCCTCAGCTCCCTCCAAGATAGTGCCGCTCCTTCCCCGCCACCGCTATCCAACACTGGATGAAGGAGACAGCAGTTCTGGCAGACAGTCCAAGAAGACAGGGAACCTACCATCTAGTGCGCACAAAGCCTGAACATCCCTTCTACTCTGAAAGGTGCCAAATGGAACATCTTTAGCTCTGCCATGCAGCCTTGTAGCTTCTCTGAAATCCTCTGCCATAGCAGTAGAAGCAGGACATGCACTTGCCTGTGCGGGGCTGGAGAGTATGTATCACTGATCAGGCACCTGTCCAGCAGAATGTCCTGCAGGCATCGCCAGGCAGCACATTCTGCTGTGTGAGAGAGGACCATCTCCCCTTAGTCCCGCCCCCTGGCCGCCACGATGAAGAAGATGTTGCAGGAGTCAGGTGAGTACCTTATAATGTATTACTGGAACTTTTAATCCTGCATAGCTGGTGGTATTGCTGTATATTGATTATAAGTCCCAGCAATACATTATATTGTTAAGTAGGGATGCACCAGTGCCAATACTGGGCATTTTCACGAGTACTCGCACTGTGGGAATGCCCTGATACTTAACGCAGATACCGACGCAAAATGTTTAAACTGAAGCGGCTGCCTGTGGCCCCGCGCTTGCTGGGGACCTCAGCAGCCTTCCTGTTAACCACATGGTGGCTGTTTATAGTGCCTTCCCATGACTGAGAGGGGGCTTGGGGGGGGCCCTTCATGGTTTCTTGCACCGGGGCCCTGAAGTTTCTAGTTACGCCTCTGGTTGTTACCCTGCCACCCCAGGTCGCGGCCTGTTTTAGCTATGAAGAAATACAGCACTGAGCTAGGGCCCATTCATACTGCAACACAGTGCACTGTGCTGATTTTGTGTTTGGAGACACCTTGTAATGTGCTGCCTTGGGCCATTCAAAATAAATGTGCAATGCTCAAAAAAACTGTTGCAAAACATTGCAAAGGACACTGCAACGCATTGTGCATTGTAAAGGTGCAATGGGGAGTTGTTCACAATAAATGGCACACACATGTAACAAGCAATACTGCGTGTTTTCAAAACATTGGTATGAATGGGCCCTAAGGGGGACTTCTGTCATTCCATTGTCTGAAACTCTATAGGCTCAATTCAACAGCTAACACACCAGGATAAGGATTCTTATTACCAAAAAGTGACAGTTATTTTCTGCTGAGTGCAATGAGATTTGAAAATGACAGTCACATGGCTAAAATGAAAGATTCCTATCCTTGCATAAGGCGTTAATGAATTGAACCTCATGCCTCATGTCCTGGGTTTCTTCTAACCCTGAAGCATGAGAGGTTACTGTACCTTCCACTTTTCTGTTTCAGTCCAAGGTACATGATCAATTCACTGTTACATGACACTATCTTTATGAAGGGAGGCCAGCAGGAAGTAACACACTGGTCTATAGTCTATGTTCTAGTTTGAACACATTCTACATTGGTGTGAGATCATGAGTTCTGTACATACACAGCAGCTATATATTTAATCACACAATAACCAGTTGATCTTACCTTGCTGACACGCAGAAAGCAGGGTAATAACAGCAACTAGAATAACGTTGTCTCCCATTGTTCAGCAGGTTCAGACTCTGTGTCTGAGCAAGACAGATTACACAAGCCAACACAGACGTACACGCCTTAGTAGGCGGCACTGTTACTTTGGTAACATTCCATATTTTATAAAGCTTTGTATGTTGGAGTTAAAGCATTCCTCCTGCTACTGATTGCACGCTTGTAGAACTGGAAAGACCAGCATAACTTGCTTTTACATAACTCCCAACCTTCTAAGGTCGCAAAGAAAAAAAAGTGAAAGGTTGTTAAAATGTCTATTGCAGTGCCTTGGTAGTCCATTCATTTCAAATGAATGAGCGCTTGACGGCAAGCACTGTAATGCGCAGCATAATGCACGTGCAGTAACGCACCACAAATAATCAGGCATTAAACCCATTGCTGCACTATTCTTACTGTTCTTTCATAATAGAATGTAAAAATAAGCAATGCAATAACCCGAGGGATGGATGGAAGGTAAATGCAATATAAAAAACTTTGGAGGGTAAGCAGTGCTGTTATTTATACAGACAGGGCCAGTGCTTCCACTAGGCAAACTAGGAAACCGCCTAGGGCACATTGCTGCCCAGGGCACAACCTCGACCACTCACCCTTCCCCTCCCCCCCCCTTTATTTCAAATTGCAAAAGCCAATAGCAGGCGGGCTATTGCACCTGCCCACTGACCAGAGGAGCGATACTAAGAAACAACTTTCTCTCTCAGGTCTGCTCCTCTGCTCAGTTGCTGGTGTTTCAATAGCCAGTGTGTTATTATCTATTTCAAATGACAATAGCCAATAGCAGTCTGGCTATTGTCCCGGCAGCTTAGATTCATCTATCGCCTGTGGAAGCTAGCCCGCAGGAGAATGGGACCGTGAATGAATGCAGGGGAGTTTGGGGGCTGCGGCGCTGGGGGTGCAAATAGCTGGTCTTGCCTAGGGTGCAAAAAAGTCTAGCACCAGCTCTGTATACAGATGTCTGCAACACAGAAAAAAGAGGGACTTTCCGGAGGAAATAGGAACAAAGGGATTTGGTTTCAAAAGAGGAACAGTTGGAAACTGTGTTGTTATTTTCACGGTCTTATTTAAGCCCTTGCAGCTGGCCCTTTAAAAGTAATCTAATGAGGGGATATGGAGATGGGCCATGTGACTGCTGTGAGACAGCCAACCACAGCAATCATACGATCAGGAGCACATACCCACCTCCTGATTGTAAACAGTAAGTCCCCGTTCAAACCAACGCGTAGCAGAAATGCGCATCATGGTTATGTGCATTACCATGTTTTCCCCGGGCGTTTTTTTCAATGGCAAAGCGCCATTGGTCCAAGCTGTCCAAATAAAAAAAAAGAACAAAAAATACTGAGGACATCGATGCCTCATCAGTGACAAGCAAGTGGGGGACAGGGAGTCTCCTGTCCCCTGTGGACGGGATTACGATAAAATGTGTCATCACGTTGGTGACTCTGCCAGTGGAGATCAAAGGGAGTTCAGTACACGATCTCCCTTTGATCTCCTCCTGTTCGTCGAATGCAGGAAGTGATGTATGTTACATCACTTCCGCATTCAGTGTCACTCTCCAGCAACCAGTGGCGGAACTACGGCCGGTGCGGGCGCCCGGGGCCTCAGGCTCTGGGGGGGCCCAAGCAAGATGCCGGCCGCGGGATCTGGTCTCTCCGCCGGGAGTGTCAGATCATCC